TGAAGCTGCTTTCTCGTACCCCCGTTTGCTGGTCTCCGATAGGAGTCCAAGATGGCAAATCCGCACTGCATTAGCTGATAGGGGACCTCTGCATGAATCTCTCCTCGCTCTCCGTTTTCTGTCAGTTTTCTCACTCCATTTGGTGCTTGGCTGAGTTCTTTATCTCTTCATTTGATGTTTTAGGGTTTCAGGATTGTGGTTTTCTCTGTTCGGCTTTGTTTGTCAGATCTTTGCTGTGGAGGGATGGCGTGGTGTTTCTGCCTAGAGCGCCATTTTGCCGGAAGTAAGCTTTACATTCTTGTGCTCTAACTTTGTAATGCAAGGAGAGAATATAGGAAACTAGGGGAATGAGTTTTACAGTATCCTGTAGGCGATCCTTCAGTGACGCTTGCTCCTCACCCTGATGCCATTGATAGGTAGTCATTGCAGAATACAGCTGTGCTTCTCCAGCTTTTCTGATCCCAACCTGTGGATCAGAAAAACTGTATATCACAAAACTGTATATCACAACCCATAAAACAAAATTTTATAACAGTAGTTACCCTTGCTACATGCAATGTCCTCTAGTATTTTCTGTTCTATTTTTTAAATGTTGATCATGGTCCACTAAGTTGATTTCACAACTCATTAATGGATCATGAAAAACACTGCTGTAGAGTAAGTGTGCAAATTCTTTATTAGTTCTAAACCAAGTCATATGTTTTAAGTACAAAATAGATACCAGTATTGACATTCTGATCCATAGAGGAGAAAGATGTGGCAGCCTGCTTCCGTAAAGATTACAGCCTTGGAAACCCTATAGGGCAGTTCTACTCAGTCCTATAGGGTTGCTATGAGTCGGAATCGCCTTAGTAGCAGACGAGGTTATGGATGCTTTCCCAGTACAACAACAAAATTAAATAGTTGTGATGAAGACTATAACCCACAAAGCCTAAAATATTTACCATCTGGTCCTTTACAAATAAAGATTACTGACCTCTGCTGTAGTGATTCCTTTTGTCGAAAATCTAATCCTTCCCTCACATCTTTATACAAAGCCAGATTTTCCTGTGTTGGGTTTGCTCAATTTAAAGCAACACAGTAGTTTTCAATTTATTTTTCCTTGAGAAGTATTCATTAAGTAAGTACCTGCTATGCTTTCATTTAGCATACATTAACAGTACTACCTGTGTCAGACCCCATGGTGTGGCTGCCTTAAGATGCCCCTTCAGCTCTTCTGCCCCTCTGGTCCCCATTGAATTTGCTGTGAAGCCTCGCTGCCCTGGGCTGCCAGTGACTGAGCACAGTAGGGGTGCTAGCCGGTGCCCAAGTGTCTGTCAGACGTTTGGAAGTGAGAACTGAAGCTCAGGTGAAGAGTAAGCAGAGTTGTCTGGCATTGTCTTTACTGCCTCCTATTGAGGACTTTAATACCTAGTCATTATTTCTTTTACTGTCCAAACTCCTGTTATAATGCTTAACATACAACCCATGTATTAACTTTCTAAAAGGTTAAATACATGCAAAAAAAACAAACAAAACAAAAGGTAATCTGAAAGTATGTTGGTCGCCTCCACATTGTTAAATAATCTCTGGAGATGAACCTGTGATCTCTACCATTATAATATTATAAAAACAATAAAACCTTTCTAAAGCCTCAGTGCACCTAATGTATAGGAACAAAAGTTAACACAATATTTAGAGACTTCTTTATAGACTGTTACAGAATGAAAAAAATTATAACATTCAAAAATAGGTGTCATGGAAGTGCTTTAAAAAATTGCAAATAATTTCATTTGGATTTAAAACTATACTTGAGAAAACACTCTAAGGTGAGTTATGCCAAAATGTAAGAATAAGAATATCGAGTTGTCCAACTAGAATAATTTTAGCATACTAGTAATGAGGAAATGAACTAAGGGACATCTTGATATCTCTTTTTAAGCATTGTGGTTCTCAAAATATTTTTCACTACATAGAGAAAATTGCACTATTGGATATCGAGATCTTTTATCTGAAGAAGAAAATGATAGAGAAAATTGTCAGTATTGGTAGTGAAGTCAGCATTTCAGAGTAGACTTTTGAGGGGAAATTTTTTTATTATTTAATATTTCTTATATTGAATCAGAGAAATTTATAACCACTGTGTTAGGAAAACTTTATAGATTTCAGAAGCCCACAGAGTTCTGCATTGTGATTTCCATGTTGCTTCTATGGCATATTCTTGTGCATAGTAATTTTAATTTCACTGTCACTTTATACGTGGGGCATGTGTGTGTGTGTGTCCATGCGCGCCTCGATGAAAAATAAGTCTACGTTTTTTTTAAAGGTTATGTCTAGAGAAGATATCTCCACACTGGTTTCTCTACTCAAGATCTTTATCAGGAGCTGAAGCAGTCAATGCCTTGAGGCCGTTCTATTTTGCAGTGCACCCAGATTTCTTTGGACAGCACCCGAGAGAAAGGGTAAATATTCATTCTTTTTTATCTTAGTCTATATTTCTATTTTGTTTGCTTACCTTTGATACAATATTATACAAAGAGTTCTATAAATTTGCATTATTCTGTTGGGGTGACATCACTAATACTTAGAACTAATTTGAAATGTACCAAAAAAACCAAACACGTTGTCAAGTAAATTCTGACTCATAGTGACCCTATCGGACACAGTAGAACCGCCCCATAGGGTTTCCAGGGAGCAGCTGGTGGATTCGAACTGCTGACTTTTTGGTTAGCAGCTGAGCTCTTAACCACTGTGCCACCAGGGCTCCAGTTTGAAATCTAGAGATACTGAAAATTGAAAATGTAACTCTTGTTTCTTATGAAAGCTGTTATTTGTTACCAAAGCATGGAAACTTTCTAGATTATTAGTAATCATGTTTTCTGGGCCAGTTTTTAGACTAAATTTGAAGTTTTTCTTAAAAAATTTCAGACCTCTATTACCATGGTCAGAGTCCTCGTTGCACAGTGGTTAAGCACTCAGCTCTTAACCAAAAGGTCAGTGGTTCAAACCCACCAACTGCTGTGTAGGAGAAAGATACGGCAGTTTGCTTCTGTAAAGATTACAACCTTGGAAATCCTGTGGGACAGTTGTACAATGTCCTATAGGGTAGCTATGAGTCGGAATGACTCGACAGCAGTGGGTTTATTACCATAATCAATTTTTTTGAAGGATCATTTTTCAGTGCCCTAATGGTTTTTACTTACCTTACATGCTGCTGGACCACTTTCTTATGATATCAGTTAATGTTAATATGCTCAAGGAGTGCAAAACCAGTTGTCATTGACTCAACTCCAACTCATGGCGACCCCATGTGTGTCAGAGTAGAACTGCGTTCCATAGGGTTTTCAGTGGCAGATTTTTCAGAAGTACCAGGTAGAGTGCCAGGCCTTTTTTCTGAGAAGCTTCTGGGTGGACTCAAACCTCCAGCCTTTTGATTACCAATCAAGTGCATTAACCATTTGTACCCCCCAGGGACTCCAAGCCCAGTAATAGACAAATGTTTTTCTCCCTCTTTCAATATATCTTTATATAAACGTGTGTGGAGTAAAGGGTTAACTCAGCAGGCTCCAGTTACTTAAGCACTGTGCATTCCAGAGCAAGACCTGGCTTCCAGACTGGCTCTACTACCTCCTGGGATGTAACCCCTGAACCCTTGGGATACCTGCTTGATAAAAATGTTTTTTTATGCCTGAGGCCTTGGACAGGCCAAAGATTTTATGTTAACAATGTGATTTGTGGTGAATACCTGTTTTTGTATGCCTGAGGCCCTGGGCCACAACTGTATGCATTTGACCTCTGGGGGTCTGGAGACTGAGTAGCTAAGATCAGTCATGCAGGTGCTGCATGCCTACATGACTGACCCCAGTAAAGCCCTGGACTCGAAGGCTCAGGTGAGCTTCCCTGGTTGGCAGCACTTCATACGTGCTGTCACACACCATTTGGGAGAATTAAGCACTGTCTGTACAACTCCACTGGGAGAGAGCAACTGGAAGCCTGTATCTGGTTTCTCCTGGGCTCTATCCTTTGAGCCTCATACCTTTGCTGACTGTAATCTGTATCCTTTCACTGTAATAAACCATGAGTGTGAGTATAACAGCTTTTCTGAGTTCTGTGAGTCCTAGTGTATCATCAAACCTGAGGGGGTCTGGGGGACCCCTGACAGTGTACTTAGAGTGTAATTATTCTGGTAAATTTATATTTTCATTTATTCTTTCAACTTGTATTCATTGAGTGCTGACTCTGTGCCAAGCCTTTGCACTAGCTGCTCCCTCTGCTCAAAGCATCCTTCTCTCAGATCTAGATAAGGCTTGTCCTTAACTTTCTTCTCAAGAGTCACCTTTCAGTGAGGCTCTCCCAGACAACCCAATTTAAAATGGCCACCCCCACCTTCCTTCCCAGCATTCCCTCTCCCCCGTATCCTGAAGTACCATTTCTACATTTTTTTTTCTTTTATAGCATGCCCTATTTACTTATTTATTAGGTTTATTGTTTATTTTTCTCCCCTCACTAAGATACAAGCTCTGTGAAGACAGTTCACTCTCCCAGTCACCTCACGTTCAGCTCAGTCTTCTTCCCGTTCTTACAAAACACACTTGGCCCTTTTCTAAGGGAAACAGACTTAAAGTCCCATCTAGTCATAGTATCAAGCCCAAAGTCCAGAATCTCAGAGTGATACACAATTATTTTTTAATTATTTTAAATCTAATTTTTAAAATAGTATAACATTTATAGGTTTCAGAAATCAAAACTAAATACAAAGTTTAATCAAGTCTCATTCCCATCCCTATCTTCTTTACCCCATTGCTAGTCACTTCTGTAGATAAGCATTTTTATTAGTTCTGGTTGGTTCTTCCTGTCTTATATTTTTGCAAAAATAAACATACATCGAGAAACATGTACCTACTGAAACATAATTATGACGATTTAGTCTTACACTAGCAGAGAATGCACTTAAATCGCTTATGAAACTCTCATAGCTAAGACAAGCATATTATGATGAATTAAACAAACAAGCAAAAGTAAATGCTTTCTATTATTTCTATTTTAAATTATTTCTATTTTCAAATCACACCAGTTGCCTCAGAAGAGATTCAGAGTGATGAGAAACACAATTATTATTTATACTATTCTTCAGTCGAGCTGTTACTTCACCAAAGGGCTATGGGCAACTTTTTGTGTCTGAATAATGAAGAATTAAAGATTGTTGTAAATGAAATTTCAAGTCAGAGGTAAACAGAGAAACATCGAAGCAAAGATAGTATACTATATATACTTTTACATGTTTTCTTTTTTACTTAATATATTCTGAAGTCACTTCATGTCGGTTCAGAGAGATCTTCTGCATCGCATTCTTTTTTTTTCTGGCTGCATAGTACTCCACTGAATGAATGTACCATAATCTATTCAGCCAATCGTCTATGGGTGGGCATTTTAAGAACCCTGTACATATACGGAGATTGGCCCTTTGCTGTGAAATAAGTTGTAAATAGTTTCTCCCAGTTGGTTATTTGTCTCTTAATTTTGCTTATTGTGTTTTGCAGCGTGGAAGTTTTTTTTTTTTTTAATTTTTTTTAATGTAATGGAATTTATCATTCATTTATTACTTTGGGATTTTTAGTCCTAGTTAAGCTTTTGCACACCTAGGTTATGAAAGAATTCAGCCATGCTTTCTTCATGTACTTGTATGGTTCCATCCTTTATGTTTAGATTTTTCATCCATTTGGAGTTCACTGTTATATGTTGTGAGGTCTGGATCCAATTTTGTCTTTTTCCAAAGAACTATGAAATCCCAACATCTTTAAATACTAGAATTATTAAATACTCTCAATAATGTGTAGAAGAGGTCAGATATAATTTCTGCTGTTTCCTTGTTGCTATTATGTGTGTAAATGCTCCTTAATATTTTTTTCCAGGAGGTCAATGAAAATTCTCTTAAGAGATTAAGTGTCTACTTAGAAAACCTCCAGAAACCAGGCTTCAAGTCTTTGAAACCAACGCAGCTGACATTTTATGTCAGAGAAACAGACCAGAATTCTTCTGATGGCCAGGAACCGTTTAGTACTTCTGGTACGTTATTTTATTTCTAGTGTGTCCCTTGCAAGTTTCATGTTAAATATATTCATTAATTCTAACAATGCCAGAATATCCTTTCAAGTGAAGCCTCGGCCATAGAAAATAGTATCATTTAATTGATTGTTTTCCTAGAACTAGGTCTGTTCCTGGCTGCATGTGTTTGAACAAGCCTTTTTTTTTGTAATTAAACATTTTTGTCTGTAAAACTGAAGGTGTTCTTGTTTGTCCCCTTTCCATTTCCACATTGTTTTAAGAGTTAAACAAATATTTCACAATTTACATTTCTAAAAAATACAGCTTATATTCTTTTTTTTCAGTTCTCAGAGTACCCTGTGAGGTAGGTAGTATTTGCACTGTTTTAACATAGTGATGTTGAGTGACTTCTCCAAGACTATAGAGGTAGAGTATGGATCTTGAAGCCAAGTCTTCTAACTCCAACAGTGTGCTGTTTCTAAAATCTAATCAATCTTAGTGTACAGCTCTTTTCAATATCATTTGTCCCTACTTTAGCCATGACCCAGTGATACTGAAAATAAAGATCACATGTTTAGGTAAAGATCCTTAAAGTCTAATCGTTTCTTCAGGCATATATACTTTTATTGATCCTTGAGGAAATGACTTTATTTTTAGAATGAACTTTAAAACAATTTAGATTTAGTAAAAGCCTTCTGTGAGTTAATGCTAAAACAACTAGAAAATGCTCTGTAATTTTTTTTTTTTAAACAAACTGTTGTAGAGCTCAGAATTTGATAGGTCTTTGAGACCTAGAAGCTATTTCTAACTCCGCCACTGACTAGCTATGTGACCTTAACTTTTGGTTTTTCATTTGTTAAAATGAAAGAGTGTGAGTGTTGTATAGAGGCTACTCACGCTGAAGGTCCCTAACTTACACCTAATGCTTACAAGGCTATCAGGAACCAGACCAGAACCTTTAGATCAAGGGAGCGCTTGATCTAAAAAGTGCTAAAATGGGGTCTTTATATTGAAGAGACTTTCCCACCCAGGGAAGGTCCAGGGACTTGCATTTGCTAGTATATTTTCTCCTCTTTTATTTTCCCATAACTGAATATGAGAGATCAAGAATCACAAATTCCATTTTTGGCTGTTTCTCCATCTACCTCAGATTTGGAATTTTATTAAAAATAGCCCTTATTTGAACACAACGAAGAGTCCCTGATGGAGCAGGAGAAAGGTGGGGTGCAGAACTCCAATTCTAGTAAGACCAGAGTTAATGGTCTGAATGAGACTGCAGGAACCCTGGAAAGCATGGCCCCCGGATTTTCTATCAGCCCAGAACTAAAACAATTTCTGAGGCCAACTCTTCAGACAGGGATTGGACTGGACTGTGGGATACAAAGTGATACTCGTGAGGAGTGTACCTCTTAGCTCAAGTAGATACAAGAGACTGAACGGGCAGCTTCTGTCTGGAGGTGAGATGGGAAGGCAGAGAGGGCTAGGAGCTGGTTGAATGGACATGGGGAATTAGGGGTGGAAAGGAGAAGTGTGCTGTCACAGTACAGGGAGAGCAATTAAGGTCACATAACAATGTATATATAAATTTTTGTATGGGAGACCAACTTGAAATGTAAACTTCATTTAAACTACAACAATAAACAACAACAAAAAAATAGCCCCTACTCGGACAGGAAAGCTGGACGAATGGAAATGGGGAACACAGGGTGGAAAAGGGGAGAGTGTTGACCTGTCCCGGGGTTGGTAGCCAATGTCACAAAATAGTGTGTGTATTGTTTAGTGAGAAAGTACTTTGCTCTGTAAACCTTCATCTAAAACACAATTAAAAAAAAAAAGCCTCTGTTCTTCATTATTCAGAGTCAGAAAGTCAACATTTATGAAGGGACAGCTCAACTAAAGAATGCTCTAAATAATAATTATGCTCTTATCACTCTGGGTAACAGTTCAGTTTGAAAATATAAATAATCATTGTTTGCTTAACGCATTACAAATATGCTGTTCTTAACCATGGAGTCCCCTAAGCAACTGAGGTATCTTCTCTGCTAGTGTGAGACCAAATATTTATAATTTGTTTAAAGAGATACATGTTGCTATTCCACTGGGTCAAGATTAGACTAGGAATTGAAGAAGCATCACACTCATGCATAGTGGTCTACTTAGGTTTCATGGTTCCTCCAGGAGAACAGATGGAATTTATAGAGGCAAATAACATCATTTACAGTATTTCAAAAGGAAAATACTATCACCAGTTTGCTTTTATTTTTATGTGTTTGGGAGAGTCACACTCATTTCTACAGCTACAACTACTATTTCTACCACCACCATCAGCTGCATTTGTTTTAAATATTGAATATTCATGAAGTTAAATAGTAAGTTGTATTTGAAAGTTTAGAGGGAAGCTTAGAAAGTTTCACAAAGCAAACTAGGGACAGAGCTGGCACTAGAACTAAGTTCTCCTTTCCTAGCCTAATGTTTTGATTATTATTATCTCTTAATTCTCCTTTAAAAACATTGCTTTTAATCATTTTGCCTCTGCCGTATATGACAGCAATTGGCACTTTGACAGATTTAAAGTATTTTTATTTAACATTTTTATCTGATTGTAAAATTAAGGTGTAGAGTGTTTTTTTGTTTGTTTGCTTGCTTGCTTTAGTTTGAGTTCTGTATAATTTATTGTGTTCTTCTAGCATAACTTATAGATACCAAAATTAATAAAAGATGATGTTGCACAGTGTAACTCTAACACAAATATTGGGGTCAGGAAGTACTCAGTTGTTATCTGTTGCATGATTTACTCATGCATTTCCAGGTATTACTGTTTTTATGACCAGAACCGCACTAAGATCAAGTGTTTTTTTAAGTTTTTATTTTTAAAACACTAGAAATCATTAGTCACTTTTTCATTGATAATGAAGATGGTAGTAAGGTAAAATATTTACTAGTCATTTTCATTACTGAAGTTTTGTGAACCATTTTGCATTATTAATGCATTGAAAGCCATAAAGGCCTAAATCATTTCTTCAGCTACACATCCTTTTGCTGATCCATGAGGAAATACACATTATTATTAGAAAAACCAAAAAACTGTTGCCATCAAGTCGATTCCGACACATAGCAACCCTATAGGACAGAGTAAGAATTGCCCCCATAGAGTTTCCAAGGAGTGGCTGGTGGATTCGAACTGCCAAGCTTTTGGTTAGCAGCCAAGCTCTTAAGTACTGCACCACCAGAGCTCCGTTGTTATTAGAACAAATTTTAAAACAAGTTGAAGATTTACTAATAGGTTTCTGTGAGTTAATGCTAAAACAAGTAGCTGTAATTAGCTCTGCTGAGTAAAGACAAAAATCCTCTACTTTCAGTAAATGTTAACTTTGAACCAATCATTCATTAAGCAAAAATAGGTTACAGAAAAAATAAATAAATTAGAAATTGGTGAAAACATGCAGCCTATGTAACAAAAAGATAATGTTGATGTAAAAGAGTTCTTACAAATTGAAAAGAAAACAGAGTTTTTCCATTAAAAAAAAGGGCAAAAGTAATGAATAGGCAGTTGAGGAAATGAGACATACAAATAGCCACTAAGCATATTAAAATGTTTAACTTTTGTAATCAAATGCAATCTGAAATAATTAGGTACTAATTTTTGCCTGTTGTTTTGTTTTTTTACTGATAATACCCATAAATGGTGAGAATGTGTTTTCACACATTTTTGGTGGGAGTATAAATTCATATATACTACCCGGAGGGCAATTTGGAATTGTTTCTCCAAAGCCTCAAAAATACCCTTTGACCCAGAAATTCCCCTTCTCGAAATGTATTCTAAGGAACTAATGAGGGACGCGTACAGGCTGGTGCAGCATTCCTTACTATATGACAGCCATCGCATTGGGTTATGTAATTAATGGAACTGGTAAATTAAGACAGAAACTGAGATGGATTCCTGCCTTAGATGTTTTAAGGATGAGCTATTTCTTCCTAACCTCCAATGCAGGAATTTGGATTTTCCTTTTCTTTTCATGGGTTTCCCTTTCCTTCTTCACTGACCAGAACAATTCTCCTGCCAGCGGGTCTCAGTTTACCATCAGAGGATTCAAATAACAAATTTTTGTTAGTTTACATGTTCTGGAGTCCATTAATCTGTGTGACAGGCAGGTTACGTATCTCTGAGAATGATTTAAATTGTGGCAGCATCTGCCACCAGTGGCAAAAACAAGAAAATACATTTCAGCTTTGTATGGGGTAGTGGTAACAACTTACATGCCCACCAATATCGGAAGTGTTAAGTAAACTATGCCACATTCATAATACGGACTAGTATGTAGTTGCTAAGAAGAATGAGGTAGATCTGTACATAGATGTGGAAGTCAACTAAGGTTAGTGAGAAAAGCAAAATAACATCCATAATGATACCATTTATACACTAAAAAGAATTCAGACTGTCTAGGTGTATGTTTATGTAACCATATGCACATGTATATCATATGTAATATACATACATGTAAGCACATAGAAAAGGTCTAGAGCAGTGCTGTCCCAAAGAATTTTCTGAGTTGATAGAAACGTGCTATATCTTTGCTATGTAATACAGCAGCCACTGCCGCATGTGGCTCTTGAGAACTCGAAATGTGACTAGTGTGACCAAGGAACTGAATTTTAAATTTTATTTAATTTTAATTTTAAATAACCATATGCAGTTATTAGCTACCATATTAGGCAATGCAGGTCTAGAAGAATGTGTACCTAACAGTTGATAGAGGTTATGTCTAGTAGACGAGACTGTTTATCTCTAATTTTACAGTTAGTATGTACTTACATAGTACTTGTATAATTTTCAAAACCAATTGAAAGAAAAAAAAAGAGGCAGTGTGGTATAGTAGAAAAAGTGCTCGACTTGGTGTCGGCTCCGATTTAAGCCCTGGCTCCTTACTTCTTAACCTCCTTCAGCCTATGTTTCTTCACATTGGAAAAGAGAGATAGTAACGGCAGAGCTGGTGTAAGTATGATTGAAAAGTTTTAACCCAGCTAGAACCATGCCTAACACCCAGTAAGGGGCGGGGGGAAGGGAGGGTTACAAAACAGTGGATTTCCTATTGATGATTTAGCAGTTAAATTACTAGCCTCAACGAAATGACCACCCAGTATTAAAATTAGATTATGAAACACTAATTTTTAAACAACTAGGGAGTTTTACATCACTCCTGAAAATATTGGGTCCCTAGCTGGTTGGGTGGGCAAGTCTGAGGACAATAATCTTTTGCAGTCTCTTGGAAAAATTGGAGATGGGCATATGTGACCGCTGAAACTACATTAGCTAGCCCCTCTCCTCATCTGAACACTAATAATGCTGGGTATCTGTCTTTTTCTCTCTTAAGCCTTAGTGCTAGAAACTATCTTTGGTAAATACCTGCTCATAGGGGAACTTTTCCATCTCTTGGACGTGGAGACCACATTTCTGGGCAGCATTGGAAGTATTCTGAATCTCCTTCTTGGGCTATGATGGGTTTGGTCACTGGTGCCAGACTAGAAAAGGGAATGGAAGGGGAGAGGAACTCATGAAGGTAAAGATAGTGTGGTACAGATTTGGGGGAGGGAAGCAGTTTTCCATGTGTAGATGAATTTTAACAGTAGGATGGATTTTAACCAGTGATGGGATGTTTTAAAAGACGTTGCTTTTATAAATGTTGAATGAAAGATTGTTTTTAAGGTAGAGCAAATAATCATCTGTATTAATTGTTCGGGGAAATTATGTTCTCTAGGATTTCGAGCAGTCGAATTTACTTTGCATACCAGAGACCTGCTAAGCACAGTATTAGATATTCTCAACTCCTGCAGTTTATCTACTGAACATCTCCAAAGCTTGAATACTCATGTGCATTCCCAGCCTCTGCGGCAAGCTAGAAGGCCGCCTGACAGGCCTATCAAGTGGGACAAGTCTTATTACTCCTTTACTGGATTCAGGGACCCTGATGAAGACCTCGAGCAAGTTTCAAGAGTGGAAACAACCCTAATGTATGTGAAAGTTTTTATTTAACTCAACTGTTATTTGTAGTTCACGTTTAAAATCAAATTCTAATTTTCCAGGAAAAGTAATCCTATCAATATAGTTAATCCAGTAACCATTATGAAAACCATATTTTGTGTTTCTTACTTTAAATTGCCAGAATAATTCCAAATGTATTTAACTTTTGATCTTTTGATACCAAAAACATGCAGGAGATTTTTGGTTTGGTTTTGTTCATTAAATCTTTAAATTTTACTTAAGTTACCTCTGGTATATGAAGAAAGACTATACCTAAGACTGGAAAAAACTTTTAAACTTCTTTATGCGTTAGGCATTTCCTACTTCTTCAGAGAGCTCAGTAGTAATATACTTTAGGGTAATCACTTGTAGATAGAAAAATACATGGAGACAACATTTTAAAATACCATCTATCTCTCTCTCTCATATTTTGGCCATATATAATTTAAGTTTCTATTTTTATTCTTGTATTTTTAATCTACCCCCGGTATATATGTAGGTTATAGAGATGACCACATGCTCAATTATATAGTTCAGAAGGAACAGAAAAATGATTATTCTGCAAATTAACATCAAACTGATCTGCACCTGATTTACAAATTGCATTCATCTGATCAAAATTCATTCTTATGTAGCATACTAATATGTCGCTAATACTTCAGAGCACAACGTTAAAAAGAGAAACTTTAACAACAGTATTCAATGTAGAGTTTTAATTTTTAATAATTTTGGTTTGTTTTTGCTGTTTTTACTTTTATAAAAGGAATTCAGCAGTCTAAAAATAAATTCAGAAACACTGCTCTGTGTTATAGATTTTAGTATTTTTCATACTTTGGGTATATGTTCTTTTTATCAAATAATATAGATGTTGTAAATAATGTATTTTAGTTATATAACTCATTTTTGGAAGGGCAGTATGATCCATTTCTATCTAGACAAAATAATCCCATATGTAATGTCTGCCCCACCAAAAATAATGTCATTGAACTACAGAAAGACCATTGAAATACCGTTCTGTTAGCTACTCAGTTACCAGTGAATGTCAGAGTGCTATTTTTCTCTGTTTGAAGTTTGCTCAAGTAGTTATATTTTTTCACTTTCAGAATCTAAGTTCAGAATCAGTCTTAGTGTCCACAGAATACCACGTTGGACAACTACAACCTTGGAACTCTTCCTCTAGAATATTTAGAAGTGTATTGGTCATGATTATGGTTTTGTTTACTCCTTCCCTGGTTTATAGACTAAATCAGTGTTTTTCAAACTGCAAGTTGTAGCACACAAATTAGAGGTTCAGGACCAGCAATTTTTTTTTTTTTTTAATTTGTTCCTTTTTTTAAAATGAAACAGAATATATATTGTAAACGTACTTCTGGTAGTAAGTTTAAATATTGTTTCTCAAAATACTTGTATTAGTTATACACAAGCACACACACGTGTACTGGGTCACTATGTAAAATATTTCTTACTATGGACTGCCATCAAAGATGTTTGAAAGGCTGTTGGCGTAAAAGCTATACTTTAGTTTGTGGTCTATTGTTGTTAGGTGCCGTCAACTTGTTTCTGACTCATAGTAACCGTACGTACAACAGAAGGAAACACTGCCCGGTCCTGCGCCATCCTCACAATCATTGTTATGACTGAGCCCAGTCCTGCGCCATCCTCACAGTCATTGTTATGCTTGAGCCCATTGTTGCAGCCACTATGTCAATTCATCTCGTCTTCCTCTTTTTCGCTGACCCTCTATTTTACCAAGCATGTTGTCTTTCTCCAGGGGCTAGTCCCTCCTGATAACATGTCCAAAGTCTGTGAGACATAGTCTCACCATCCTTGCTTCTAAGGAGCATTCTGGGTGTACTTCTTCCAAGATAGATTTCTTCATTCTTTTGGCAGTCCGTGGTATATTCAATATTCTTTGCCGACACTACAACTCAAAGGCGTCAGTTCTTTTTGGTCTCCCTTATTCATTGTCCGGCTTTCACATGCATATGAGACAATTGAAAACACCATGGCTTGGGTCAGGCCATTTTTATTTTTTGCAGTTTGGATCATGGCTCCCTTTTCATCCTCTTAAACTCATGAAAAACTGAACTTCTCTTGAGTTACTGAAATATTTTTATCTCAGAAGCATCATGACCCTAGGAACTAAACCAGATGTCTTTAATTTTCTGTCAAACTTCAGTCCCTGTGTGTGATATTCCAGCAGTCATTTCTAAGTACTGCTTTCCTTTGACTTCACCTTACCAACTTTTCTCTCTTTGCCTGGATCTTATAGCAATATATTCAATACCTGTGTATATTTTTATAAGTATTATGAAATCATTTTTGAACTAAGGTAAGATCTAAAAAAATAAATTAACCACAATGAGATGCTGCTTTACACTGCTACCCATTGCCACCAAGTCGATTCTAACTCGTGAAAACCCCACGTGTGACAGAGTAGAACTGCTCCATAGGGTTTTCTTGGCTATAATTTTTCTGGAAGCAGACCCACTAGGATGGCTGTAATTAAAAAGAGAATAACAGTGTTGTTCAGGATGAGGAGAAATTGGAACTCTCATACATTGCTGGTGGGAATATAAAATGGTGTGGCCACTTTGCAAATCAGGTCAGCAGTTCCTCAAAATGCTAAACCATATGATCCAGCAGCTCCACTCCTAGGTGTATACCTGAGAGAAATGAAAATAGACATCTACACAAATATTGTTCATAGCAAATTCATAATAGCTCAAAAGTGGAAATAATCCAAATGCTCATCACTTGATAAGTGGATACAGAAAATATGGTATATTCATATATTGGAGCAGTGTTTGGCTAAAGAAAGGAATGAAGCTCTGATACATGCTGCAACGTGGATAATGCTTGAAAACATGCGAAATGAAATAAACCAGTCACAAAAGACCACCTATTGTATGATTCCATTTATGTGAAATGTCCAGAATTAAGAAGATCTATAGAGACAGAAAGAAGATTAGTGATTACCTAGGAGATTCGAGGAAATGGGGAGTGGCTGCTAATGAATACAAGATTTCTTTTTAGGATGATGAAAGAGTAACAAAACCGGTTATGGTAATAGTTGCACAACTCTGCGGACATACGGAAAACCACTGAGTTGTGCACTTTAAATAGGTGAATTGTATGCTCTATCTCAATAAAGCTATTAAAAAAAGAACTTTTATTACTCTGAAGAAAACAAATTAGTGATAACTAATATTTTATTTACTCTATAGATCATTTTATGTTCCAAAATTAGCATTCTTGAAGTTCTTGACTAGTTCAAGACTTCTGGGCGAGTTCAGACTTGTTCGAGCAGTCTGGTTTATTTGGTGTTTAACTGCAGAATAAACATGAGATGACTGTTTCCTTTTTCTCAGTAATAATTGAATGGGCTGCTCTCCATTGAAATAAAGGGCCCAAATTTATGAATGACCATGATTGTAAATTAAGCTAAAATGAAAATGATTTATATGACAAATTCAGACAGTAGCAATCCCTTTTAAATCCAACAGAGCATTTTCCTTTAGAGAGTAATTTAGAATTTTATCTCCTTGACCATAGAGTATGGGTAGGACGGAATGACCGTATTTTTCCACATCAGGCAGGAAGTTATTCTTTTCTCTTTGCCTTACAGTTAATATGCATAATCAAATTGCATGTTGTCTAGTGATTTCTCTGAGATGAAATTCAGAGTAAGTACACATTAAATAATAAAAAGGCTCATCTTTCCCTCGTGGAGGTAACAGGATAATACAGAAAATGAGACATGTACAGAAATAATTATACTGATAAACTGTGATTGGTTCAAAAAGTGATATTGATAAAAGTACTGTGGCCATTTATAGGACAGAAGTGAGGGACAGTGTGTCCAGAAAGGTTTTAAAGTAAATACAACCCTTGGCTTATTTTGGTTTGTTTTCATAGTTTTTAGGTAGTGGGGGGAAAGATGATTCAAAGATGCTTAATGGTAATCCCCATTGACACATTCCCTTTTCTCCAAGATATTGGAATAACTTGCTAAAGGATCTTTCTATTGCCAGTTTTTCTTCCCTATATCCTTTAGAGAGAAAGATTCTATGACGTCATTCCCCTTAATTAGCTCACGCATTATCCAGAGAATCATTTCCCAGTTGGTAACATACAAAGCCCCAGGGCTTTATAAAAGTTCATGGAGGTCGATGGAGGGAAACGAGGAAATGCTGATGACAGACAAATTTTTAGGAATTTTTTTAAAGATAGAAAGCAGATGAGATGAGAATTACGGAAAAACAAGCCATTGAGAATGCCTGCTATCCCCTCTACAATGTGTTTGTCCTGGAATGCAATAAGACAAAAAGAAATGGGGTATATAAATACCAGAAAGGCAGACGTACACTTTCACTATTATGATTGTCACCAAGAAAATCCAAGAGAATTTTATTAGTCAGGATTCTTGATTGCCAGCAACAGAATCCAACACCATCTAACATAAGTAGAAAATAAATTTGTTATGCAGATATCAAGTATCTCATGGTGTTTACAGGAAGATTGGAAAACATGGTCCAGAAAATGGCCTATGAGTATGAGCTGAGAAGTGAGACGCATTTTACTCTAGATGTTTCTGTGTGGAATTTTTTGCCATAAGAGTGTATCCACGTCTTACCTATTAAAATGATTTTAAAGAAAAGAAATATATAGAATGCTGATACTGAGAAAGGTAAGGAGGACTAAATAATTCCAAAAATTTGTGTCTTGACTACCTTCATATAATCTGTTAGTTGCATTGATGAAAATTCTGAAACACATGATGGTATCTCTTGTATATCAAGCACCAAAATTAGAAAGAAAATGATTAACTTGGATCATGTGATTAAGGTGTTGTCTCCCAGGTTTTTTTCCCACTCTACAGCTACTATTTTTCTCTTTAGTTTCTTTTGGGAAGATACTTTGTGCCATGTAAATATCCTTTTACTCATCGAATTCTCTAATATCCATTACTGATTGTAGCCTGAATCAGATATTGCTACGATAGTTGCCCAATGGTGATTTTCTTATTTCATCATCCCTTCCACGTACATTATTTAGATCCCTTGTAAGGAAGACCTCCCCCTCCCCCCATTTTATGTATGGATGTACGTGTGTGTGTGTGTATGTGTGTATATATATGCCTATAACAGCTGATGAAGAAAGCAAAATAAGGGAGAGGTCAGTGTGGACTGAAGTAGTTGAAAAGAGACTTAAACTGGGCATTTGGTTAGGTGGGAAGGTGTCCATGAGCACTCAGGTTGTGAAGAAACCAACTTGAAAAGAGCAGCTCATTCTGGAGACTTCATGGCAAAAAGATTAGGTCAGTTAAGGACTGACCAATGGAGGGACCTGGAGGGAAGGATGAGGGAATATGGATTGAGAGCTCAAGGTACTAATATCCAAGATTAAAATAATGGAAGAAATTTGAGTCTATCCAGCTAGAATCCACAGAGTCATCTTTGAAAGTTTCTTCATCAGGATGCATTACATCTGAATTGTCACCAGTCTCATTAGATATGTCTTTGAGTTTGACTTTTACACAATACTAGCTCAATCATTATTTGCTCTATTATTATTACTAGTTCTACCCTCACATGTATATGATTGACATAAATGAAGATCTGGTTTAACCTACTGAAAGTTGTCATAAGCATAAGTAAGCGGTTTTTATTTATTTAGTTGTTGTTGTTGAGAATATATACAGCAAAACATATACCAGTTCAACAGTTTCTACATGTACCATTTAGTAACGTTGATTATATTCTTCAAATTGTGTAACCATTCTCACCCTCCTTTTCTGAATTGTTCCTCTGTAATTAACATAAACTCATTGCCCCCTAACATTCCTGTCTAATCTTATGAGTTACTGTTGTCAATTTGATCCCATATAGATAGTTCTTAAAAGAGCATGATACTCAAGGCAGACGTTTTTTACTAGTTAAGCTAAACTATTGTTTGATTTTAAGAAGACTTCAGGGGATATTTTTGGTTTAAGGTTTAAATATTATCTCAGAACAATAGTTTCATGGGTTCATCCACCCTCCATGGCTCCAGGAAGTCTGGAGCCCATAAGAATTTTAAATTCTGTTCTGCTTTTCCCCCGCTTTTGATCAGGATTCTTCTGTGGACTCTTTGATCAGAAGGTTCAGTAATGGTAGCCAGGCATCATCCAATTCTTCTGGTCTCATGGCAAAGGAAGCAGTTGTTCATGGAGGCAATTAGCCACACATTCCATGTCCTCCTATAAGTAAGAGATTTTTAAGTGTCTTTAATTAAAAAAAAAAAAAAATTATCCCCATCTCTAGAAATCTAGTGACAGGTTGGTGTAATTAAAATTTAATTTTTTATATATATAAAGGAAGTTGTCATAACTGGAATATGATTTAATAGGTGCTGGCAGTTCTCCAAGCAACCTAATTTAAAAATAGGTATTTAAAAGAATAGACTCGATATAAGTACTTATAATTTGGTGAAAATTTGATTGAAAACTCAATTTTGGGGCTGTTTTCAGGTAATGCATGTTTTTTAATACTAGAAATTTTGGTATCATAATTTGTCTTCGTTATCTAGTGCTGTTATAACAGAAATACCACAAGTGGATGGCTTTAACAAAGAGAAGTTTATTCTCTCACAGTCCAGTAGGCTAGAAGTCCGAATTCAGG